CGCTTTAAAAGTTAAATGTCTAAACATGTAGAGATTTTGAAAGATCGTGGCGACAAATTCTAACGTATAATTTCAGCCGCACAAGGAGTTCTTCTTTCAGTGATGTGTAACTCAAGCAGTATAAACGATGTAACTCAAGCAGTATGAACGATGTGTAACCCTAGACTGAATATGTTAAAACATAGAATCTATGTAAAAAAAGCTTAATAATAGACCTATAAACATTTTTCTACAAATCTTATGCATAGTCGAAGTTGCAAGGAGCTTTACACTAAAGTACCTATACTTTAAAAATTGAAACTTGATATCAATTATGAAATGTTATTTTCTAGTCGTCTTTTGTTTGATTTGGTATTTTATTTATTATAGAACCTAGGAAAATTTATAATAGGGTTTATGGATGGATTAATCCCCAATTGAATACGAGATATGTAACATTTTGTAAGGTAGATATTACATTACCAAAACTAGCTTAAGTGACATAAAAATTGAGAATATGTCAGACGACGTCGTTTAAAATCTATATATATATGACATCGTGTGACATGTTTTAATCCTTGTTTCATTTACGTTAAATTTTCGTTCTATTAAAAGATCACACTCATCAATTTTACTGTGTGTATCCGTCGATTCTCTTAGAACAAACATTTCGAAACATAACTTAAGCAAGTTTGTGTGAAATTTCAATTGTGTCAATGAAGAGAATTCATATTCGATTAAACTATTTGTGAAAGGTATATGCTAATAATACAACGTTTTTTTTTATACATTCATTTGATTTCATTATAAGTTTTCAAATATTTTCATAAAATTTTGGTTATTTTTATCAATGAATATTCTCTGATTATCTCTTAGTTACTTCTTGTTAATTTGTTTGTATGTTTGTTTTCTTTTCTTTTGTTTGATTGTTTGATCTTTATGTTTTGTTTAATCATTCTTTATATAAAATTATTTCGAAGAAAAATTGTTAATCTATAAATCTATCATCTTTAGGAGTGGGAGAATAATCTGTTTGATACCTCGTCCAATCCAATCTGAAAGGTATTAAAAAAAAGATTTCTCCGTATATAAGTTCTCCGTATGGATCCAAAAAAAATTAATTTTAAGATTAAGATATCGAAATTTGATTTGGATCTACTTCCAAATATAATTTTATTTGAATATATGTATGATAAATATAAATATTAAAAATATTTTTCGATGTCTTAGAAAAAATCTGTGGTGTTTTTTGAATAACCCTAATAATTGTTTTAAAAATAAATTAAAATTTTAAATGAAATTTATTTTACAATTTGTTTTTGTAATTAATATTATTACTTTAATAATTTATGCCAATTTCTACATATCTGAGATCTTGATACTCCGTACCCAATCTAGTTGTTCTTTAAAATTATTTCATATAATTACAAAGTATTACTAATTATGAAGTTTTACATGGTTTGACCAAAAACAAAATTTTATAGAAATAAGCATAATTTCCCCCAAATTCAAAAGATTCGTTTTAATTTATTCTACTACCATATTATACTAGTCAAAAGATTTTTTCATAGTCAAAAGGTTTTTTAAAATTATTTTACCATAATATTATTCTAGTCAACTAAAACACTTATTATCTTTCTCATTTTACCAATTTTTCAGTCAAACATAAGAATATGTTTGACTAGAAACTTGTACAATAGAATAAAATGGAAAAAAAAAAAAAATTTATCTGACTAGTACAATATTATTGTAAATAATTCAAACAAATCTTTAAAATAAATGTTTCTACAAATTATAAATATTACCAATTTATATTTTTTTCCCTTCTTTTGACTTCTTCACCGATTATTTAAGATCAGAAAGACAACTAAATTCCTCACTGTTCTAACTTTTGCTTTCTCTATATTTTTTTTTGAGTTCCTAAATTTTTCTCCTAAATTTTTATATCTGAGCTTATGTGTTTTTCTCAAATGTTTATCTCCATGAGAGATAGCTTCTGCCCGGTAGTACTTCGCAATGCGTAAGTTTGAAAATATGTATGCATAGAGAAATACGTAAAAAACTCAAAGCATGCGGATATTGCAAAGGATACAGTTGCAAATATTGTAAAATAATATTATTATCAAAGGACTTGAAGGGCCAATTTTATTTAGGTTACATGTATTTTAAACAAATATATTTAAAATGCATGTCACATAAGTTAATTTTGGCCTTTCAAATTCTTGATTATATCATTGTTGACAAGATTAGCTGCTTTATTTTTTTTTGTTATATACGTATTCTTTGAGTTGCTTTTATATGCATATATGTTTCAAAAGTTATTGGTTGTGAAGTACTACCGTGCATAAGTTCTCGCTCAACGATCTAAACTTTGAAGAAGCATGTGAGAATTTAAGATTTTTGTTTTGAAAATTATCTTTTTAAATTATTAAGGAGAGTATAACGAATTTTACGATTATATCCGGTTACCCACTAGAAAGTTGAAAATGTAAGAAAATATAATAGATGAATCTTTGTAATCTATATTATTATTTTTATTCATTTTAGCAAATTTCTACGAATCCATCCAAGTAGTTTTTTTTTTTTGTAGGAGTTTAAATATCAGAAATTTCATAGTAGAAGGAAGTCATCATTCTAAATCACCCATCCTCTCTAAGCCTCTAATTGATCTCACTTGTAGAAAGAAGTCATTCTAAATCGTCTTATACATACATGGATAAGTCAGACTACCCGAGATAATTAACCTGTTACTTTTATTTATAAGAAATTCAAATCCAATCCATTTTAAAAAAGTTCGACCCGATTCGTTTTATTTTCTACTTACACTCGTTTTAAAATACACAAAACCCTAGTTTTGATTTTTCTAGGTAATGTAATTAACTTGAAATAATAATGATTGGCGTAGGAACATGTATCACAAATAATCAGACTCGCTCCCAACAACTCGTTGTGACTCAATTATTTATAATAATTAAAAAAATTTATATAACAAGAAATATAAAGTCCATTGTCCACCTTAGAAGAGGCAAAGAGCATAGCCTTCACGGGATTATCACATGTCGACCGGTCTTCTTCCGTACATTACATGTTTTTATTAAACTTTATGCTGTGTAACACATAAGTTTATTTTCTAGTAACTAATTAAACGATTACTTTAACCCTTTGAATAACCTATTGACCCTACAATAAAATGAACACGTAAAGAGACAAGAAAGCTTCGTATACTTTTGTCTGGATCCGAGGGTTCGAGGTAGTGCGATAAGTTTAATGGCATTGTCTCCTGTTTATCATATCATTGGGGGTTTTAATGTCCCCACATAACATGGTTACAACCCAAATTATTTATTTTTAAATAAATCTTACATTTCTAATCCTTTTTCATATATTTTTCTATATCAATGGTATGTATACGAAATTTAATTATGCGAGAAAGGAAGAATTTTTTAAAAAAAAATCTGAAATTCTTTTGATAAAAGACGCCATTTCTATTGTCAATTTGAGATATATATTTATTCCAATTAATTAAATTTGAATTATTTTTATACACAAAGAGTAACTAAAAAAACAGTACATTGACGTTAACAGAATATACCTCTTCACAGTTTTCTCATTTTCCAGAGCATATATCTTGTACTTTACTTTAGCTGATTAATTAAGTTTTTCATTCATGAAATAATAACTTTTTTTTGGGGTTGAAAACATGAAATAATAACTATAAACCATATTATTGTATTATATTTGTTTTATTTTATGGAGCAAAGATTGCAAGGAATACAATTCCAAGCCTGCACACATAAACATTAAATAATTAGGTAAGTTTTTTAGAATTAACATACTAATAATAAGCTGACTTGAAGTCTCTAATTAGCAACAGCAAACCGGTTAATAAGTTGAAAGTGACAAGATAAAGTACGTAACTTTTTTAATTAAGAAATGTTCACTAATCAGCACTATGCAGAGGTTTAATTAAAGATAATCAACTTGAGAATCTTTTGAAATTGTCTTGGCCCGCTAGGCTTCGTGTGCAAGTGTAACTAATCACGTGCATCGTATCTAATCTATTTCCAAATTATTATTACACATTCTTAAACCCAACGGGTTATTCACTTTACTCTATTTGTATTAATTAAAGGAATATTTTTGATATCTATCTTTTGAGTGTTAAAACACAATAAACATCCACAAAACTCGATCGAACTCTTTTAAATAACAATCTGTATCAAAATGTATTTCTACAGAGCATAGTTTTTCTTTTGTAAACATTAATCTTTAAGATGCTTAAAACCTATAATTGAAAAACACGAATAATACGTATAACTAATATAACTAAAAAAATATGTGAAACGATATTTTGGATTGGAGATATATATCAATATCAAAAATAATATCATGAGTATTATTAAGTCATTTTCCTTATTCAAAGATGAGATTTTTTGTATCCTATAATTCAAGATAGATGAAGTAGATATCAAAATGATAGAAAGTTTGTGATAATTTGTCCAATCCTAATTAAATCAGCCTTTTCAAATGAACATCGTCCAGCCCACAAAATGGGGTCTCTGTGTCTCTTCGTTTGTATATATGTGTGAGAGCTTTCTTTATTTTTCAATATATATAGGTAATTCTTTCTCTATGTAATATGTTGTTCAATATATAAATACAAAATGTTCAGATTTACCGCTACTGGCCAAGAAAAGTATTTGATAGCTGGTTGAAAACATATTAATAAGTTTACCGGATTGTAAATTTATTGTATTGGCAAGTAAGTCTATTTACTGAACCAAATGTTGCTATTTTATTAATCTTTGATCATTCATAATGGATCAACACACGATGACAATGACAGCTTCCAAAGTATCAATTACAAGAGAAAACAACATAATGCGCGTGGGGTTGCTTAGATTCCTTTGTAATCTTGTTACTTCTTAGAAATGTTGATATGGCATACCCTTAATTACGAAAAACCTTCTTAAATTTCGAATTTAAATCTCAAGTTCATTTTTAATTAAAAAATAAAAATATTTAATGCATGATGAGAGGAAGTATGGGATACAGTCTTCTTGTTACTTATTTATAATTTATATCACTTTTCATCTATAATGGCTATGATGCATATGCATATATATTTGCCTAACTACATAGTATATAGATGCATGTATGTGAGTATATATAAGTTAAGTCTTTCTCACTTTGCACAACATCTCTATGTGCTAAGGCATCTCTTTCTCTCCCTCTCTCACACAAAGACTCTCTCTATTTCTCTCTCCCTCTCTCCTAGAGATTTTTATTATGAAAGACACCAAGAAGAAGACGCCATGCAGCAAAAAGCTTGGAGGATACTTGAAAGAGCAAAAGGGAAGGCTTTACATCATCAGAAGATGTGTGGTCATGCTCATTTGTTGGCATGACTAAGTTGCAACTTACATGTGTTAAGTTATATATACATGCATATGTATATGTGCACATGCATATAGACAATATCTATGTTGTAGTACAACGGTTTAATTGAAGAAAGGGATCGGATCTTTGTGGTTGTGGCGATTTGCGATGTGAGCGGAATTCGCAAGATGGAGATATAAGGGGTTTTAACCATTCATATCGTGATGTCTCCGAGTTTTTACTCACGTATGGGTTAAGAGAATAATTTTTGAGTTAGTAAGAAAACTTATATGTAGAATCTTCTTTAATGTTAGTGTATGACATAGAATAAGGAGAAGAAATAAGGTTAGTTTGTATATGCACACAGAGAATAGTTGTTAGTTGAATTTCCTTGTCTCTAATCCAAGTCTTCCTTGTTGTTATGGAATTTAACAATAATAAACATAAAGGTTCCAACTAAAAACTATAAGAACAATAATCAATAATCCATGTAATTTCATTAAACAATGCTCTAACACATTTTAGAAAGAAATGTAGTGTTTAGCAGGTACCCCCATACACGTAGATTTCAACTGATATTCGACAACCATTTCGATATTAAAATATATGTAAATTACCAACTTTTGAAATATATTAAAATTTTGAAATATACAATATTAAAATATATTTTTTAGCAAGCAATTACCACATACTCGTAGATTTTAACTGATATTCAATAACCATTTCGATATTAAAATATATGTAAATTACCAAATTTTGAATAGAATTTAATTTGGCATTTACGAATATGAAAGAAATTCGCTATCAATCAGATCAAACTTTTTCATATCTTGATCCTATTTTAAAACCTTCAAGCACATGTGTTTGTTTGGACCCAGTGACTTAAATTCTATAGCAAAATCATTAAAAACCACTGTTTGCATTTGCATATTCATATATATTTCCTACAAAAAAAAATAACCACATATCATTGACAGAATTAGAAAAAGCCATTTCATGAAAATAACAAGTCTTGATTTGTATAGAAAGGAAAAAAAAAAAAAAAAGAGTCATTAGCCATTACTGTTTTGACTTGTGTCTTTATTACCTAGTTTGGGTGATATGTAATGAAATAATGCATTACTTCAAAATTCAGAAAATCTGACAAGATATTGAAGCATGACCAATGAGAACGTGCCAAAGGATACTCTTACTGATGACAGCTTTTATGTCTGCCCACGGGCAAAGGCCAATGTCCTGAGACCCACATACCATCAGATCGGATCGCCACATCATCTCCAGTTTGCGTTTTCAATAGGACTCAAATAAACACCATTAGATTTTGGAACTAAGAACAATTATTAGAATCTCTTTCGGGCCGGTGGTTTAAATTTTACTACGATTAGATATTTTACTACGATTAGATATTTTATACAACTTGATATTTTTTTAGTTCTAATTCTAGGCTGTTGAAAACAAAAAGTTTTATGAAGAAATTTCTATAAAACACTTTTAATTAAAAGGATCATTAACATAAACGATTGAAAATACGGTGAAGAGGATAATTGTTGATGAATTTGAGGAAGCAGAGGAACAATGTCTTGCACAATTTGCAAGCGCTTTCAATGCAGAATATCTTCAAAAAAATCGATCGAGAGATCAAGAACATCATCACCTTCCGAAACACAGATGTCATTTTGGCAACCTCGAATTGGCGTGGCTGCGGTAAATTTTACATGAATTCGCACATTTTATTGACCCCTTGTTTTTATTCTTTTTGCCATGGAGTCAATTATATTGTATTTAGGATTGAAAATATGTAAACCTGATTATTCATCTATATAAGCTTTACAATTTAGGGGAAAAAACAAACAACAACTTCGTCATCTCCTCGTTAAGCATGGCATGAGCATTTTGATATATGATCAAGTAATAACAGGTACATATCAGATAGATAATATAATATATATATACTAGATTTTAACCCGCGGTAATAATTTATTTTTAAAGTTAGTATATATAAAATTTTGTAAATTGTATCTCCTTTTGTTTATAATTGTTATTAAGTCACGGTAGACTATGAGTCTACGGGACAATTGTTAATAAATTGAGGATTTAACCCATATTAAAGCGGCATGTTAAAGATATTTTAAAATTTTATAAATATTGATTTAAACATGTCTGCCATATAAATCCGTTCCAAAATATAATCCATCCGGTAATTTTTTAACCCGTCCCGTGATTTATTTTCTAAAAGTAGTGATTTTAAAATTTAATGATTATTTATTATATACTATAAAAATTTACAAATTGTATCATTTTTTACGACATTTATATTTTAATAATCTGAGGATTTAATATGCATTAAAGCGGCAATGATATTTTAAAATTTTATAAATATTGATTCAAACTCGTCCACCATATAATCCTGTTCCGAAATATAACCCCTCCTGTAATTTTTTAATCCGTCCCGTGATTTGTTTTCAAAAAGTAGTAATTTTAAAATTTAACGCTTATTTATTATATATAAAAGTTTGCAAATTGTATTATTCTCTAAGACATTTATATTTTATGGTTTACAATTGTTATTAAGTAACATTATACCACGGGACAATTTTTGGTTTTATACAATCTTTTCTAAATGAGACTGCTTTGATATGTCTAATATTGGTGGTATTAAAAAAATTAAGGATTCAATCCGTATTGAAACGGCAGATTAATGATATTTTAATTTTTTTTTATTATTGTTGATTCAGAAACCTGTCCCGCCAAACCCGTCCCGCCTAGAAAGCCATTTATTTTATTAACATTGATCTTATTTATGATATGATTCTCAATCACTGTCAAAATATTTTAGTCGATGTGGAATGTTGACACATATTTTTCGTCAATTGGATAATATATGTCAAATTTTAAAATTTCGAATCACAGTATATGCAGAAAAACCTTTTGATTTTTTTTTTTTACTTTATATATTATATTATGAATCAAAACAGTTAAAAACAAATCAAACAAAGATGATAGGATAACTATAATTCTAAATTTTAATCAAATCTTCTTAGTATCTAAATTATTAAATATGGAATATCCGGTGTATGAGTAGGGTTAAATACAACTCGACCCAACAAACTTTTTATGACCAAAATTTATAAACGGGTCGGATATCCAAAGTATCCGAGAACAATTTTACTCACCCGACTCAAAAATGACTGCAAAAATACTAGATATATAATTCATATAATTACTATCACAAAAATTTATACTAGTACAAATTATATATTTTGAGCGTATACAATAAATACCTAAACTTTACTTAGATCGAATAAATTAAGAGCGTATTTAGATATTACTAAGTCGGATACTTCGAATCATACATTGAGAATTATCATTTATATTTAGGATCTCCCAGGAAAGCATGGACTTCAAAACGTGATTTTACACAGTATGGTTTTATCATTGTATAAAAATTAATGATATTATATGTTTTCAGGCCAGATTCGAATAATCAAACTAAAATAATCATTACCCATACATATATTGTACATGTACCTCAAGATGCTTGCTTATTATAACAAGTATTCACCAACATGGACATTTAAAAAATCGAGAGAGATCTAAAATCTGGGTGGATCTTCCAAATAATTTGTCCACTCCTACTTCTCATTGTGGGAATTAGATCGCAAAATATTCGTTATTGGGTCATTCAAAGTGATCACAAATTTACTACTCAGAGCTTTTCAGTAGCCCATCATTGTACCCACACAGCCCATCTTCTATTGTTTCATTTCTCCTTTTAAGCCATTTTTAAATCTAAAATTGATACCGATTATTATTTTTGAATTACAGAAATAATTATATAATTCTACATAGTGGTAAAACTTCTTTAAAGTTTAGAAAATATGAACCCTAGAAAATTTCAATAACGATTACGTTTATAGAAATCTATAAACAAATTTATGATAAAAAAAATTCCTACTTCAATACTTTATTACATTTTATCCTACCAAAAAAAATACTTTATTACATTTTATATGTTGAAAAACTATACAAATAATTTGCCTACCGAAAAAAAAACTATACAAATAAATATGTTTTACATTTGACTAAATGTAGACGACTTATCCGAAACATATTAGTATTAATTACTAACAGATCAATTTTTTTTCATAAAGAAAAAATTTGAAACTACCTTATTATGATGTTTGAACTGGATCATGATCTTAAGTATAAGCCAAAACTAATTAATTAGGCTTGAATATATTTAAATTTTAAAATAAACAAATTTTTTGAATTTTGGCTGACCATAAAAGGGCATGCTCGTTCGGCATGCCTAGTTCCTTGTATTCAATATATTTTGAGCTATCTCTTGACCAAAATAATACTTTGACCCTTTTATTCATATTACATTTACTTAATTGAGCGTCAAATAGTCCTCGTAAAATATTACACCAAATATTTCATTGCTTTGCATGTTTGCTGACTATTTGTAAAATATTTTATTTTTAGTTGACCATAAGTAAATTTTGTCTTAATAGTTTAGCATTAGAAGAAGAACTATCGAAAGAAAAATGATATGGTCCTTGGCCTGAGAAAATGTACGAATGTAGGCCTATAACGTATTAATCATTCAAAAATGGAGATGATGAGAATATTCCAACATCCAGCGAGATGTAGATTTTGGGTGTTCTTAGGGATGTAAATTTGTTACCAATATTAAAAGCTTCAAGATGATTGCTTTGCAAAAATATATCTATATATAAAGGGCTATAGATTTTGGGTGGAAGGAACCCATATATGTCTCTGAGAAGCCGATCAAACGAAGATTTACGAGAATTTAGATACATCTATTTAATATATAAACATACCCAAATATTTTAAAAAGAAATTTGAAGAGACTTTATAGTCAAATTTTATAAGTATGATAATTTCCTATTTAAATAAAATAAAAAAGACAAAGAAAAAAAAAACCGAAACCCCTCTCCATTGATCAGGCTCTCTTGTCTCCAACAAGTGTCCGAAATTTACACCATTGTTGAGTGATTTAAAAGCCCAACCCATATTTGGGTGACTTTACTATTTCATTCCATAGCTTTCTGGATTTGATAGTCGAACCATATTCCCTTCCCTAGCTTCAATCCTAAGGTAGAAGAAACCTCTAAATCGCAACCAAATGTTGCAAAAACCAGAATCATAACATAAATTAATCAATTAAAAAAATAGGGTATAGATATCTGTCAAAATTCAAAAAAGCTCTCCCCAAAATTGTAGATAATTTTTGGGGAAATAAAGTTTTTCAATAAACTCAAGGTACCAAAACATAAATCACTAGAGTTAAAACATTTAGGGTAGAAAATAACGTAGATTTGTATAAATTAACAGAATAAACTAAAATCTAAACTATAAACTTTAAATTGTAAACTCCAAACTCAAAAAAACTAAACACTAAATCCAAAAACTAAAATCTAAACCCTAATTTCTCCTCAACCCTAAATTTTAACTTTGAAAACATTTTGAAATATCTAGTTCCTTTATTTTGTAATGATTCCACTTATTTATTTTTGCGTTGATTATTTTTTTTTATCGTCTGGATTTATTATTTATTGCAAATTATGAGAAATATTACATAGACGATTGTACAACAGACAATTTTTTCCGACTCTTAGTAGATTCACGACAGACGACACTTCCTTCTTCATGTTCTTGACGGACACTGTCAATGATCCACGACCTGACGACATTTTCCTCTCTACGTAGAATCCTGGCGAACGGCTATAATTTTGCGTTGATTTAAGAAGAAAAAAATGATTTCTCAGCTTTATCCTTTAAAACCATCGTATTTCTAATTATACTTTTAAAATTACTAATCTGAAAAAATACTATATTTTCTGGCCAATTATTCCTATTTTCTATTGTTTTTTTGCATATAAATAGTTGGGGTGCATTAATGCATTATATTGTGTTGCGCCCACTGTAAATAAAAACAACCCTTGACTACTAGCTAGAGACGTCAAAAGGAAATTTGAAAACGACAAATCTTTTCACAATCTTCAATCGTACGGGAAACCAACTCAGGTCACATTAAAGCCTCTTTTCTCCTTTGACAAAAACCCTAAAGAAAGGGATAATGTTTATGTTATGTTGTTATATATATATGTACACTACACATTTATTCCGTATCTATAGTTTCGTTAACCGGTCAATACTAATTCACCCACCAAAAAAAATCTGAATTTCCATTTCCATGGCATATAGGAAGAACTAGAAACCACTAGGTAAATAAGAAAACCGCTGGACAAAAGAATAGAAGATACTAAAAAAAATAGAAGAAGTTTTTTGTATCAAAAAGGAAAGAAAAGTAGATCTTGTATGAGATCCGACAAAAAATAAAAACAGTGAAATACTATACATTATATTCAAGAACATCGATCTCCTTCAATGATCCTGACTCTTAAAAGCGTGATTTTTATCATTGAAATGGAAACAAATTCCTTCATATGTCGTCTTCTATTGTTGAATTATTATTTTTGGACTATATGGGCCATGCTAATTAGATGTTGCTTTTGTGGAGCACTCATACGAAAGGTACGTTACCTACTTGTATATGTGTATACGCAGTAAAAGTAAATCTTAAGAAGATACTAAAAATAGTTGAGTTTGAGGTTAATCCCCAAATATATAAAGTTCATCACCAGATATTAGATCTGGAATTGGAAACCCTAGATAAAAAGTTGTAAACCCTAGTTAAATATTAACCTGTAATTGAGTGAGGAAGGAGAAGAAAAGATTTGTCTAAATCAGACCCAAAATCATCTTTTGCGAGCAGATCTTCAATTACAGACACAAAATCATGTCTTCATTACTGTACACTTAACCATTTTCTTGTTACACATCTCTCTTCTGGATTCACCGTTAATATTAATATCTCATAGCTTTTTTTTTTCTTTTGCTTGGTGTGAGGCTTACACTCTCTCTCTCTTTTTCTACTAGATTCTCTCTTTTTGATGATGTGAAAGTTTTGGTTTTTGTTTCTTAAAAAAAGGCATATTTTTTATTCTTGATTCTTGATTCTTGGTTCTTGGTTCTTGAAGCTTCTTAAGTTCGGTGATGTCTTCTTCCAACAATGATGGTAATAACAATGGAGCGTACCCTCTCTCTCTTTACCTTTCTTCACTCTCTGGCCATCAAGACATCATTCATAATCCATACAACCATCAGTTAAAAGCATCTCCGGGCCATATGGTATCAGCAGTTCCTGAATCTCTGATCGATTACATGGCGTTTAACTCAAACAATGTTGTGAATCATCAAGGCTTTGAGTTTCCTGAGGTGTCCAAGGAAATCAAGAAGGTGGTGAAGAAGGACCGACATAGCAAGATTCACACGGCACAAGGGCTTAGAGACAGGAGGGTTAGGCTTTCTATTGGGATTGCTCGCCAATTCTTCGATCTTCAGGATATGTTGGGGTTTGATAAAGCCAGTAAAACGTTAGAATGGCTGCTCAATAAATCAAGAAAAGCCATCAAAGAGGTCGTACAAGAAAAAAATCTCAACAATGATGATGAAGATTTTGGAAACAATGGAGGCGATGTGGAAGAAGAGGAGGAGGAGGAGGAAGATGGCGATAAGAGTTTTTTGTATGGTTCAAGCCCCGATTCCTGCGGAGAAAAACTGGTATGTGAGGTCAAGAAGGCAGAGAAGAGAAAGAAGAAGAGTGAAGTGAGCAACATGTCATCAGAGGGATCAAGAGCCAAAGCTAGAGGAAAAGCAAAGGAGATGGCCTATGACCATCCGGAAACCGTCTCAGATATCACACAATCTGAAATCATGGACCCATTCAATAGGTCTATAATCTTTAATGAAGGAGAAGGCATGACACATTCTTTCTACAATGAAGCAATCGAAGAGTTTGATATTCAAGAATCTATCTTAACCACGAGAAGGTTCAATCTACCGGCGAATATGGGTGAAAGTTACAATCAATGTAACGGGACATTTATGTTGATAGATCAAGGTTCTACCAGCAACTACAATGCCATTGATCTGCCTCAAATTTTGGATTATAACTATGATCAAAACCCTTTTGTTGACCAAAGCTTTTGTGCAGTCACCGACACGAATTTCCCTAGAGGTACATTTGGATAGTCTAAATTATGTATGTCTTTGCATTCGATGATATATGTTTCTTTCTCTTGATTTTTTTTTTCTTTTTTTGGCAGGGTTCCCATAAATCTTAGTATTTTCGAAGGACTAGGCGGCTGACTAGGCATCAAATTAAAACATGTAAGCCATCCTTTACTCCTCTTGAATGTATACTAAATCTGTAGTTATATGTGTTCTTTTTAGCATATTTATGTTGCTTGATCTTTTGTGCCATTGATAAAAATTTCTTTTTTAAAAGATTCAATGTGTGTACCTTTAAATGTCTTAATTAGCTACAATTTTCATATGGTATTGTAAGTTTGTAACCTGTAAAGTATTTTGAAGATGAATAAATGATGGGACATGATTTATATATGTGGTGATCCTAGTCCAATCCAAGATTCATACTTTGAGTATGCACAATACACACAAGAATCTTTCAGAGTAAGCCATATTTTGTTTGATGTTTAAGATAGAGCTGATCCATATTAGAATGTGTACCTCAAACCCTAAATTTCATATTAAAACAAATATGCATGATCATGATGATAAATGTTGAGGATCATGTATAAATGTACACACGTGTATTGTATGATATAGTACTTTGCAAATTGAAGTGAAACTGAGCTTTAGTCTATGTACTGTGGAGACATCCCTGTCTTGGTGTGTCTATTTGAGTCTTCGGTTTTGATTTGGCCATCCAAATATGAGGAGGATGGATCTTTTTACCTTTTATATTATTGTCTATAAAACATGTATAGGTTAGTTAATTAGTACTTTTTTTTTTTTGAGTAATGTTTGATTAATTTACATTGCAAATTGAAGTGAATTAAACTGAGAATTAGTGTGTACGTAGAACGTGGAGGTTATGTCTATTTGAGTCTTTGGTTGTGATTTGGCCATCCAGGTATGAGGAGAATATATATCCTACTTTCGTATTATTGGCTATAAGATATAAATACATATATATTTGTGTATATATCCTCTTACACGGAGGATATTTTGCAATGATGATTTTTGAAGCCAAATGTTAGTTGGGTTTTTTGGGTTTTGAAGTTTGGGTTTTTGGAAAAGATGATTGCTACTTACATTTTCGAGTAAGATTTGTTTAAGGCTTCTTAGGTTAAACTCCTTTGACTAGCTAGAGATGTCAACACATTTTAATTTGATTTTAATAGTCAACAAGAGAAAACTCAATGCTTTGAAATGATATAAGTATAGTAGCTTATATATTACGTACTATTCACTTATATAGTAAATCAGATACATGGATCAATTCAGTCACTACCAATTTGTTTTGAATTAGAAATCCTCAAAACTGAATAGCTATGATAGTCCAAACTCCAAACACGCTGACAAGAACGATCAATAAAACCCGTATATATAGTTTTTTTTTTTTGCCAAAAAAACCGTATATATAGTTGTTCCTATCTGACCCAAAATAAATCTATATATAAAGGAGATTAGCAAATGAATTCGCTTATGAAACTTAATATCCACCAATATAAGATTTTAGAGTCTTAATTTAATTTAGAAATTAGCCGGAATCTGACCAAAACGTGTTTAAGATCAAGATATCTCACTTTTTAAAAACTGTTTTTAGTAGTTGGGGACACTGTGTTAAGAGAGTGGTACAAGATTTGACTAATTCTATTTTTACTAATCATTTTTAAATTTAACTACAAGAATGCTACAGAATATGCCTAAAATAGCTTGACAGTTTTCATTAGATTATCATACCAATGGTTAAGGTCAAAGCACAGAAAATTAGACTAATTAATTATAAGGTTGAGCATTCAAGTTGGAGAAGTCAAGATAATGATGAACAATGTGAATTTAACTTTGGAAGGAATCCAATCTCAATAGGGACTTTAGCTTTCACTAAGTTTGAACCACACATACGGAAATGGTAAGATTCAGTACTTACAAGTATGGTGTTAAAAGCTTTATATATCCATATGTAGTTTTTTTTTTAAGCTGTTTTATGTGAAAAACAAATTTCCCTGTAAATTCCTAATCTCATAAAATGAGGAAATAACCAAGGAAATCATAAACTATAAAAATCAAAAATTGCATTAACATGTTTGAAAAATATGACAAAACTAATTTTAACCATACTTTAGTTGAAAACAATTGATAGTGAAACGAATAAATTAAACATGATTGAAAAACTCATAAAATAACAGTTTTTATTAACAAACTGTTGGAATATGGTGTGAAACAGAAAGTCTCTTTGTCAAAAATTGTGTATCGTGAATGTACAAAGTACATATATATGTAAGGCGACACTAGTTTTACTTCATGTTAAGTCATGTGAACAAAGTAATTTATGTGAATAAGCTCAATGCAACATTAAGCTTGCTAAAAGTGACTGTTAGTTCATTAGGAAAAAACATATTTTTCCGATAATGTTCGAGTCAAATAACGTTCGATTTAAGTTTGTTTTAGTGACCACCTCGATTGAGAATATTAAATTTTTGGCAGTCTCGAACTTTTACATCATATTTATTTGTTTCATTTCATTTTTTGTTGTTTCTTAAGAGCGTGTACTGACATTAATATCTAGACTTTGCCTAGGTCGTTGGATTAGTTAAGTACCTATGAATAATCTACAATATTTAATTAACAAAATGACTGGAAAGTGATTACCTTCAAAGATTTTGTTGCAAAGTGATAGTAAATTTATTATAAAAAAATTCATTTGTCAGATCCTATGAAATTAACTCGCCGAAATAGCTAATTTTAATATTCACATAACATCTTTTCAACATACTTTTGTAGTACCATTTCTTTAATTATTTCTTAGTCTTTGACTGAAACTTCACTGCATCCAATCTTTAAGGGTGTCGTTGCTTACCATAAATTTACTGATTTACAAAATTAGTTATTAGATATAAATTAAAGAAAAATATTTACAGCAAATCTTTAAAAAAAATAAAAGAATGAACACCTTAGTGGGAAAAAAAAAAAAAGAACACCTTGAAAATAATTTTCTCTTTTCAGTTTTAAAATATGAAAATTCACATTACAGTCATTTTCTAACTTCAAAAAATTCATAATTATTAATCTTTGAATATAATAAAATTATGACCAACCAAAAAAAAACATTGCTTTTATATAAATTTGAAAATTTAATTAGACAATTTAACAAATTCATCTGGGCCCAAATACAATCTTAATGGGCCTTAAATTTGGGGGTTACTTATGTAAGCCCATTATTACACTTCGTCTCTTCTTGCTTTGCTTGTCCCGAAAGTCGCAGAGGAAGCTACAAGAACAAGCGAAAACACACAAGGACAAAGAGAAGAAGAAGTAGAACAATGGAGTCTCAGAAGAAAATAGCGCATGAGATCGGTGGTGTGAAGAATGACGCTCTCCGATTTGGTCTCCACGGCGTTAAAAGCGACATCATCGGATCTCACCCACTCGAATCCTCTTACGAATCTGTAAAACCATCCTCCTCGATTTGTTTTTTTCTTTGTTTCTTAGTTTGAAATTGATTCTGTTAGCTTAAGAAAGGAACTTAAGTGCGTTTGATTAGGATCCTTAATCTCTTCTATCGCTTAATTAGTTGATTACTTTATTTTGAAATTCGCTAATTTTTGGGTTAAATTTGAATTTCTTGAGTAGAAATTGGTGTTTCAATCTTACTAGGGTTCTATATTGGCTTAATTTTAGGGTTTTGTTCTTACTCTGTAGATCTTGAATCTATGTTGATTCATCAGTTACCTTTGTTTTTTTTTCGGTTTCAGGAAAAGAAATCGAAAGAGGAGTTGAAGAGGACGGTCATTGCGCATGCCTACGGGACTGCACTTCCGTTGAAGATGGATATGGATAGGCAAATTCTCTCACGGTATGCTTCGATCTTGTTGTAATTCTAATACTGTAACTTAGTTTCACGGAATCTTCTAATACTTATTGGTACCGGAACACTGCTAAGATCATCAGATTTCTGTTCATAACTTGTAATATCGTAAATTACTGGTCTGTACGTGAATTATGTTCGAATCAACGCATGGGAAAGCTAGTGTTTATTTATGTTTAATGTTTGAGTATGCACACAGTTATAGGTCCCGTTTATTTATGTTTTCATTCGCAGTATGATGATTGTGTGCATCAGAGGTAACTATGTGTTTGCTAGTATTTAAGTTCATTGTTTGTGCTTGATTGAAACTTAAAACTATGTATGTGTGCATCATGGAGCTTAGGGTCTAAACTGTTTGCTGCATATCTGCTGGTTGTTAATAGCACTCTGAAAAATAAGTTGCATAGTTCTGAATTTATCCTTTTTCTCTGGTATTTAGGTTTCAGAGACCTCCTGGACCAATTCCGTCGTCAATGCTCGGTTTAGAAGTCTACACAGGAGCTGTGGATGACTTTGGTTTTGAGGATTACTTGAATGGTAAATGTCCTTTACTCCAATTGCAAGTGTCTCAATGCTATATTCACTTCTTTAGATCAGTGGACACCAATTTGATGGTATATCAATATGCACTAGCAGCAAACTATTTGATGAAAATTCACACTTTAGTTTCTTTGATGCTCGCAAGAAGCAATAGATCAAGTCTTTTGCAATGCTTAATTTTCCTCAAATCATCATCTTGTTAGTATTTCTATAGTTCCTTTTTTATAGCTCTAAGCTTTTTAGAGCAAGTATGCTGTTGTTGACAACAATTAGTCAGATTAAATTGATAGGGGTGTAAACGTGTTGTTCGTTTAAAATTGGATATCGGTTATCTGAATCTAGTATCTTTATCCCTTGCAGATCCTCGTGATTCCGAGACATTCAAGCCGGTAGACTTCCACCACGGGATGGAAGTTCGTCTTGGCATCTCAAAGGGACCGGTTTACCCAAGTTTCATGTAAGGCTCCCTCATGGGTGGTTTAATTGGTTGTTATGTCTTTACCTTTTGAACACTCGAGTGAGATCGTGTATGAACTTATTTCAACCGTAGACTTATATTCTCTCTTAAGTTTGAAATCAGATGAGATAACTATGAATGAACAATCAAATTATAGTTTTCGAAACTATAGATCAATTAACCTTTCACGTATCATCCGTCTTAACAAGTTTCGTCGGTCTTACTCTTCATACTGGTTAACAAATTATGGATTTTACAAAGTAGTAAAACTTATGGCTGCGATACACCGATCCCGCTTGAAAAGAAAAACTAAATTATGAACATCTTTCTCTTCTTCTACTATATCCAAATGGAATTTGGTGTAGCGAAGTTATTCTTGTATCATCTTTGTTTCATTCACTTTCGTTACATTTGTGTTTATTCCACTAATTTTTCTCATGCTTACCATTTAGTTCCTTAAGTAAATCTATGAAGTTGAGAGGAATCTAGAGGAATTAAAAAGAACGGAACGGAAGAAATCAAGAATAATGAAAACAATATTTTTTAATTTGTTTTGAGTATATGTCTAAAAAAAAAACGATTGAAATGAAAATACATTCAACTAACTTTTATGTTACATTAAAATATTTTCTCATATTTACCATTTGGAGTGAGTTTGACAACAACGACTATACTTTTACGGGAATAACTTGGAGGAAAATTCTTCTAAACTCAACAGGTGATTGATTTCTTAGAGGAAAAGACAAGGAAACATGTTTCTTCAGCTGACAGATTGGAATCCCAGTCACGCCCAATATTTGATTTATTAATTTCTCATTTCAAAGATGCTTTTTGCTTACATCTTTTTCTATATATATATAAAAATTGATTCCCAACGAAAAACATTATTCTTTAAATAAAAAAGAAAAGAATATTAGCAACGGTCACAAACACGATTTGCATATTGGGAGGCCCTCCCTATAACGTTCTTCTCACGTAGGCCCACTAACACTCCATTACTCCTTCATCACTTCTTCTTATCATTATTCTTTTATTAATTTCTGTCACCAAAATTGAACCTCTTTTTTCTGTTCCATCATTCATTTCATCTGTCTTTCTTTCTAATAAAAAAAAACATAAAGTTATATGTTATTTTAAAAACTATTTGTAAATCCGTTGGAATTCATCGAAAAATATGTAAAAATGCTCAAGATTATGCATATCACTTTTGTTTACGTTTGTTGTGGTCATCTTCTAGAATCTAGACATAAAATGATCATCAAGTGTTATATCTATTGCAAAATTTTCTTAAGATGTGTATAATTATTATTAAATGTAATTGGAGCTGCGAGTCTAATTAATATGGTAGAAAGACGGCGGCAGCCAACGATCCACTTTATCAAAATTTTCAAGTTTGTGGATTAGCAACATCAAATTAACCCGTTGAATTACTTTCTTTGTTACACCAGCAGAATGAAATTTCTAGAGATATTTTACATTATTTACGATCCATATAATTAACCGAAGGAAATAGAGTTTGAAAAGTGTTTTTCTTTGTTAAACGTAGATGTGCCAATTAGGACAATAAACCGGCATTTTAGACTAGTCATTTTGTCATGGAACGGATCAGTGCCGGCTCAACAGTATTATAGGCCTTAGGATAAAAAATTTTAGGCCCTTAGAATTTTTTTTTTTTGTGTTCTTTGTGTTATATAAAAAAATTGTATGATATTTTTATTAAAAAGTTAATTATTAAAACTAAAAACAATAATAAAAAAATTTATGGGCCCTTCTAAATTTTATTTTTATGTTGTAATTTAAAATTTTAATACTTTTATAAAAAAAAAATTAAAATGGGCCCCTTAATTATTGGAACACGGAACTGGACCCCTGGCCGTCGCACCGCTCGTCCCCTATTTGAGCCGGCACTGGAACGGATTAGGGTTATAATTATAAATGTCCAGAAAGCTAAATTTTTTGCTAGTCCAATACAAAAGGTTGAATCCACACAAGTAATAGACCGATCCATAAACATGATACTTTAATTAAACTAAATAAATATTAGTTATTAAAAAGATGTACAATTTTTGCCAAGGAACTAAGTCTCTAGGTAACCCAACAATGTAAATCCTAAACTATTTTCATTCTATATGATAATTACTCATTTAGCAAAAAAAAAATGTACAATTTTAAAATTCACTTAGTTAAGTAATTTTTATTTATTGGAAATTAACTATATTCTACTGAATCAGTATTATTTTATTAAATATAAAAAGCATTATAAGTAATATTTTTATACTTTTAAAACACAATGATACTCCCTCTGTTTCACAAAGAGTGTCATTATAGCATTTTTCACACAAATTAAGAAAAGTAAACAAATTTCATTTCTACCCGTTATTAATACATTAAATAATACCATCTCTCTAATTAATAAGCTGAAATAGTGAGTTTAAAAAAGAGAATTAGTTTTTAAAACTGCATTGAAAACACAAAACGATACTCTTTATGAAACGAGATTAAAACCTTAAAACGACACTCTTTGTGAAACAGAGCAAATAGTAATTAAGAGGAATTCGAAGGAGAGATGCCAGAATAGGTGTCTTAGACGTATGGTTTCCGCAAATAAGACTTCCATATGCTTGGATTACCGTATCAGTTATCTAATATAGTATGTGTGATTGAAAAAATTATTATTTAAAAAAATGAAATCCAAACTAGCTGAACATGTCAATCTGCTGCAAGATTTACAGGCTATACCGATATATATATCCATAGATAATATTTAGGCTATACCAATACATAACAAGCTAAATGATAATATTTCATATTTAAATAATTATTAATACGTGTATGTACCGATATATATCCAAGATTTTCGTATAAAAATGATACCAAAAATTATGCATTCCGTAATAAATAAAGAATAATAGTAAAACCATAACATTAACTTGATAGATTAAATTTCTACTAAAAATATTACATAAGATATTCAAATATCTTGCAATAATTAAAAGATAAGAAATAAAACCATCTAAACTAAATGTATTGTGTTTTTTTTGGATATAAAATTAAAACAATACCATTTTCTTAATTAAATGTCTTTTGTGTCTACTACTGCAAATATTCTTTTAAAATACTATCATTAATACTAGGAAGCCAAAAATTAATCTGAAAAAAAAAAACAAGACAGAGTTAAGAGCACAATGATGGGAGCCACATGGAGACAGAACATATGTTTGCATCCAAACACTACAGCAGCCATATGCACAGCTCTTAGCCACCTTGGCTTTCTTTTTTCTTTTAGTTACTTTATTCCTTTTTCTTCATATTATCCATTTGCCAAAATGTACATGTTCTTTTATAAACATCTTATTATATAAAGTATGGTTTTTTAGTAACTCATAAGATCGTGACACGTAACAAATCTATCGATCTTAGATTCTGACACGGGTAAAACAAAAATTTCTTTTTTAAGATAAAAAAAAAGATAATTGTGAGTATTTATAATATTAAATAATTTTAAACACCTAAAAGATAATTATAAGGATAATTGTAAATAATTGATATTTCTATTAAAATATCAAAAGATAATAATAAGTAAATTATACGTTTCAATTAAACAAAAAAACCAGGCAAATTTATTAAAAAGGAAACATATGTTATTATGGGAGACTCACAAAAATGCCTCATTTTCAATACCCCTTTTCAAAAATGTCCCATTTGGCTGTCCATTTTTAAAAATACCATTTTTATATACAAAATGACTAAATTACCCTTCTTTTAATAAAAGATATCACAAATATATAAGGAAAACATGAGAATGTGCACACATCAAAATTACAAATTTGATTTTGTAAAAACTTGTAAAACCTTTAAAATACCTTGTAAAATTTTCTCGTAAAAATTTTTCCTGCCAAAAAATTTTTTTTGCGGGAAAAGTGATTCCGCAATTTTTTTGGCGTTAAATTTTTGGCGGGAAATTTTTTGACGGCAAAAATTTACAAGGTATTTTAAAGTTTTTTTACAGGGTATTTATAAGATTTTACAATATATTTTAAAAGGTTTTACAACGTATTTATAAGGTTTTTATAAGATATTATAAGATTTTACAAGCTATTTTATAAGGTTTTACAAGTGTTTTATAAGGTTTTACAAGTTATAAATACTTTATAAAACCTTATAAGTGCCTTGTAAAACCTTTTAAAATACATTGTAAAACCTTACAAAACACTTGTAAATACTCTGTAAAACCTTTAAAATACTTTGTAAATTTTTTCCGCCAAAAAAATTTTGCCAAAAAAATTGCGTGATCACTTTTCCCGCAAAAAATAATTTTTTGGCGGGAAAATTTTTTGGCGAGAAAATTTTTTACGGGAAAATTTTACAAGGTATTTTAAAGTTTTTACAAGTGTTTTGGCGGGAAAATTGCGGGATCACTTTTCTCGCCAAAAAATATTTTGTATTTTGTGGACCTAATTTTGTTTCAAATAAGGGTAAAATGGTCATTAAAAATTAAGAGAGGGCAAACTTAAAAATGGACTCTCAAAGGGGGCATTTTTTAAAAGGGGTATTGAAAAAGGGGCATTTTTAACAATTTCTCTATTATATAACTAATATGATATATTTTTGTTTCCCAAAGTTAGTAATTAATACTATCATAAACCGTTATCAGTCAAAGATTTTATCATGTGTCGAGATTAAATTTAAAATTTGATATTATTTATCTCAATTTCCTTTCCAATTAGAAATATGTGATGATTTAATTAAACTAATCCTTATATTATTTATTTGAGTTTATTTTTTCAAATAGAAATATGAGAGATCAATAATGATTGCACTATTGTTAGATTGTTTATTTCAATTTCTCTTTTCATATTTAAATTATCAAAGATTCATATATCATCGTGTTTATAATTTTTTAAATTTTAGTTTTAACTGTTGTATCTTTAAATTATTTATTTTAGTTTCTACGTTCAGTTAAAATTATATAAGATTTATAATATATCATAGTTCTAATGATTTTAGATAGCGACATGTGTCATGATTTAAATTACAAATGTCTATTATTTATATCAATGTTATTTTCTAATTAGAAATATGTGCTGATTTTAAGTAAAGTTTTATATTGTTTATTTGATATTCTTAAATATGTAAGAACGATATATGCTTCTTCTTTGTTTTTGAAATTTTGAATTTAATATTCTATTTCA